CCGCCGCGTTGCAGCTGCATCTTTCAGTAGGCTACTGTACAATTCTTGGCATTTTATCGTTTACTTTTTTTTTTTTGTATCGTGAAGAATTTGCATGTTGGCAAGTTTTATTTGTAATTTGGAAAGTTTATTTTGCGGACATTAGTCGTTTTATTCGGACATTTCATGGCCAAATATCTTCCCCATATATCGAGTGTACACAGGGAAACGTTGTCGTGTCTGACAGAGCAACATACAAGCACTTAGTTGACAAAAGGCGAGCTTTTATGTCGCTGGCACAAAATGCTCCTCACCGATAGCGGAGGATGTGGCAGGTGAGCAGTTTGTTTGTGTCACAGTCCCGGTAGCATGTCGGGTCCGGAGACGACGGCTCAGCCCTCTGAGCTGAAAGTTGACCACAGTGCTGACAGGATATACGCTTGTTTTCCTGAAGCAAGCGGCGAAATAAGGTCGGGAAAGCTAAACGCAGGTTTCAGTGTCCACTCCACCCCCTCCTCCCTCCTCCTCTGCTCTCTCCTGAAGCCGCATAGGGCTGCTCGGCCGTGGGGGCTGTGTAATTGTATTCCCCGCTAATGTTTGTAAATCAGCTTGGGCCGGCGCAAGGGCACCGTCTGTGCCGTTTGACTGATGTTCTGTAACATGAGAAATGACAGGAGCATGGCAGCCCGGGTCCCTCGGAAAAGCCTACCAAGCAGGAGACATCAGAGGTGGTGGCTCTCGGTTGTCTTGTGTTGGTCGAGTGTTGTTCCAGCTCCAAGCCGCTGGACCTCCCTGTCATCCAGGCTGGGATCCAGAGGGGCGAGGGGGCTATTGTTGTTGCGGCTGCATGTAGCGTCCTCTGTGCAGGATCTCATCCTGGTTCACCCCCGGCTCCACAGGACAGTGGAGCACTGATAGATGTATACCTTAGAGGTTTTTGATGAAATGTGACTGAGTAGCCTGAGCCAAATCTGAAGTGGCCCTACCAATGTCCACACCATTACCTAGTGTCATGAGCAGGTAGATCAGCCTATAATAAAACAAAAGGGTAGCTCCAGTCAGTGATTATTGTAAAGCATACAGCTACTAATATAAATCACACATGCTCATGTTCCCTTGAATGACACCACTACTTATTATCAAGTAGTAGTACCTATATTTTCTGCATGAATATTATTGTCATCTTATGAAAACAAATAAATAATCCCACTGATGAGGAATAGGTGGCGGGTGAATGTAAATAGTTTAGGTTTAAGGATTCTCATAGTGTGTAGTCCAGGCGATGTAGTGAGCCATAAGTAAAACACTGCTCATCACTAGGATAATTCTGCACACAGGGTACTTTGTAAAAACGTCTTCATGCAGGAATACATGTGTATTAGTCCACATAGTCTAAGTCTAAAATAAGATAGAATGCACACATCCTGTAGATATAAATTGGCTTCCGTATTAGCAGCTCTGGTGTACAGCCACTTTCTGTGTCTTGAAGTACTCTTGTTCTGTGCCTTTGGGTCTGTCACAGTGTTGATTGATACAGATGTTATAGCACATTAGACACATGCATGAGTTGAAAGTGGCTGCTGTGCTGAAAATTTGTTTCAGTTTTTACTGAAACTCAGCTTGTCTAACACTCAAACCTTTAACATTCCACAGGGCTGGCATGGATGCGATCACATTGTCTAGCTGACAGCTGCTCTGGTAAACATCCTTACTGGCCTTTGGTTGCAAATATGTGACATCCTCTGCTACATGTGTCAGACATCAATTAATTAAGTTATTTCTCATTTACTCATGGTTAGAGCTTATCTTCTGCAGTGTAAAATCATAGCCGTTTCACCATCTATAGAGGTGCATTCTTGCTATATCCAAGGACATCTTCGTGCTATTTATTTTTGCAGCCTGCACCGGAATGTTCGCCTTTTCATTACACGTTATTATATCAGTAAACTGAGTGTGCAGATTTTTAGTGTTTGTGCAGTAGATTTGTGCCTCTGAGTTGTACAGGATGAATAATTCACCTGCAGGCTGATGAAAAGAGGGCAAGGAAAGTGCGAAGCGCTGAGGTGGAGTGACCTTGGTTCCTGCTGGCTGCAGGTCGCCCGGCCGTTGCTGTGGTAATCATTCACACCAGCCAGATGGCATTTCCGTGGGCGAGCATCAAAAGGACGGGTCAGGGTCTTTCCTGCCAGGTCCTGCCAGGCCCAAAGACAACTCCAATACAGTACCCGGAGAGAGGGAGTGCTGGGCCTGCAGAAAGGCTTTGCAGAGCCAGGTGATGAGAAGGTGTGGTCAGACCAGGTGGAAATGCAGTTTGACTACGTTCGTGCTTTTGTTCAGTCCTGTCAGCTGAATTGTTCTTATGTGTCATCTACATATGCTATATTTAATTGCCCTTGAAGCATGCAGAGAATGGATTTACATGGATCTCATCAAAGCAGAACAAAAAGACTTGCATTTGATTTGACTACAGAAAACTTGGGCACCATACTTTTGCTACAAGATACTTTAATCCCTCTGTTGTTTTTAGTGATGTTGCAATGCTGTGCTCATATGGCGAAATAATGCTCCGCTTATTTGTTACCATTTCTTAGCCTTGTTTTCACTCTCTCTTCCATGAATCTAAAAGGCTAGGGTTTTAGATCAGGAACAAAAGCTTGTGATTGTACTACATTTAGCATGACTCAGTTGCTCTGGTGTCAGCTCTAATCCACACACAGAGACAACAGTATTGCCAAACAGTGAAATTGCTTTGCAGCCTGTGAGCCTGGCTGCCTCCGCTGCCAGCCTGCTCTGTGTGCTGTTTGCCAGTAGCTTCCCCCCCACACACATACACCCAGACACACACGTGCACACACACACACACACACACACACACACACACACACACACACACCAACCCTGCAATCTCAAATTGGCTGTGAAAATCCGTCTCTATCTTCCTTTCATTCATGCTTTCATATATTTGTTTGCTGATATTGTTAATGTCACATGCATCAGTATAATCTTATTGTAGTGCAGAGTAAGTAAGTCCAGAGCGCCTCACATCTTGTATTATTTATCATAATGACTGTATTATTTAATTCATATGCTGTGAAGCTTTAAAGCTGACCTCCACCGTGGGTGCTGTATGTGCTCATTATCTCATATTTCAAGATATGCCTTTTGTTGTCAGGTTTTTAAAATGCTCTGCAGATTAAGTGCTGTGTTTAAATGTAAACGCTGCCCCATCATCATAATCAGTACTGGTTTAGACTCACTCAGGCCTCTTATATAAACATTTCTTAACATGCTTCATTATTACCACTTCCGCGAATTGATGGGTGGGGCATGTCTGTCACTGTCCCGTATCCTTCGGGTTGCCCCTCTCTTCCTTTGACAGTGACAACAAAGCACATAAGAAAGAGGGGAGCTTTTACAGGACTATCTGCGACAAATTGAGATGTGAAATCCAGGATCCATAACCCCGGTACATAAAACGTAGGGAACATTAGAGAGCGAGAGGAGCGAAACAGACTTCAGCATTAAGCTGTTTAACCTCTCTGTGTAGCATTAGTGGTAGAGACTTCAAAGCAGATGCTCCAGCGTTGGAAGCAGAATGACAAATGGGTGTAGAGACAGCTACGGTGAGCATTCTCACAGGAAGACTAGGCCTGTCATTAATGTCAGCTTAATCACTTTGACCTTCCTTCAAGTAGATTTCCATACCTATCCAATAATTTAGCTGTGCTTGTGCTCCTGTTTGCAGTCTGCCATATGTGCTGCTGTTTGATAAGTCTGGGTGTAATGATGTTACTGTCTATATGTATGATTGTACACTTGAAATGTCCTGACAGCTGTAATATTAAACTACAAAAAAAAAAAAAAGACATCCTCTGCTTACCACTAGTCATGCAGATAGGATTGGCTTTATTATCCCCAGTTTTGACATGTATGCCACTGACATTTCTGCTTCCGGAGAGGTGGCAAATGCAAGTTCATTCCTAGTGTTCACAGCTTTCAAAAAATTACAGCTGAAGCGAGTGTCTTTCAAGAAGCAGTGATCCACAGCCGTGGTCCAGAACTACCACGCTGTGTCTCACTGTCCTCTGATATTTGACACGTCTGTCCCTGAAGGGCTCAGAAGATTTGTTACAGGAATAGGTCTGAGCTCTGTGGCCCAAAATATTATCACAATCATTTTTTCATATAATCCACACTGATAATGATTGATTTATACATTTAATACTATTAGTTGAAAAGGAGACGCAGTGAACATGGTTGTTACACCTTAAGCACTGTGTTATAGTGTGTATCACTGAATGTGAACTCGGTTTAATTTGGATTTCAAGGGGTATCTTCAGTCACATATCACAAGGTTTGTTATGGTTCTAAACAATCATTTATATTTGAATTAATAACTTGAAACTCTCCCAAACCATCATGGTCTAATATTTATGCTCATTAGGTTCATGTCAGGCTCTGCTGTACATGACACCCACATTCTGCACCGTGTAAAATCAGCAGTGGAAGCTACGGTGTGTAAGAAGGTCATTTACTCAGTGGTGTTGCTGTGATGAGTCTTGCGGCCACCAGCCACAGCACTGCTGCTGACAGGGCTCCAGAGAGTAAATGAAAAACGTTTGGGCTCTTGACTGGAGTAATTCATGATTTTTGTTACTTTGCACCTGCTTGATGTCGTTCTTTTCTACCTTATAGGTTGTTAAGAAGATTGCTTACCATCTGGTGAGTTTATATCTAAGATTTTATGAGGCGCTCAGTGACTGAAATCTATTGAGTTCTCAGAGATAGTGATGCAGAACGGTGATACACATGATGATTGTGGATCAGGGCTAGAGTCTGCAGACCTCTCTGTGAATGGCTTTCGCTGGATCTTTCTAGCAAAGTAGTAGTCCCTACAAAAAAGTGTTGACAGCATGTTCTGTGGATTTTACAGAGTAGCAGGGACAGGGTTATTCTGCAAAGAGGTGGTTCAGTTAAATGTTTTCAGTGTGGTGAAGGTCTAAAACGAAACTTCATCCAGCTCAGCTTTATTGGGTTGGAGCAGACGTCTGAGAGTAATATGTCAAAATCTGCTCAAATAAAACCAAACCTATCTCCATGACTACAAACATATTTTAGTAATGTTCTTTTTGAACCAGAGGCTGAAATTATTGACATCTTGTGGACATAAGATTTCACTACATTGATCAGTTTGTGACTAATTGTAGCTAATGAGTGCTGAGAATTCTGTCATTATCCTGTTCCTCTTGTACATGGTGCTACATGCCTGAATATTTCTGTTTTTGAAGCCTTGCTGTTTTAATGTCTTTTCTTATGCAGCATTTTGCCAAAAAAGCAGTACACTCAGTGATTCAGCAGGGACGGCCCCTTGGTAGTTGACGGTGCTTCATAGCAGGAGATGCCAGATTTTTCATTGCCGTGCGTTCTCCGTTCTCCTGCCCCTAGGCTGGAGCAATTGCTTTGCAGGAGTAAATAACCAGCTTTAACAAAACTTCAGGGACACATTAGTCTGCTGGAGGATGGCTCCATGGCGGTAGGGCAGCAGCCTCTTCCCTCACAGCGAGGCGGGCAGAAACATCAGGAAGAGAGCTGTAATGGCTCATTGGCATGGGTGTAAAGCTGTGTCCTTTCTCCCTGCTGACAGCCAGTCCTCTGCCCGCAAGTCCATTTTGAGCTGTGTTTCTCCACTGTGGCCTTGGTTTTATTTGTTTTGACTGACGCTGCTACAGACCTATTGAGCACCAGGCCTTTCTTGTTCATTTTACTAGGCTTACAGTGAATCCCTCTGCCGTGCCGTGCTCTGTTTCTCTCTTTACCTACCTAGCATGCCTCAGCTGTGTTTGGCAGGGTTTCACTTACTCTATTGTCCATTTTGTCCTTCATGACTGAAAAAAAAGAGAATCCCTCTTTTCTTCCCTAATGTATAAGTGCTAGGCTTTTGTACGGTGTGTGTTCTGACACTGGTTGT